AAACCACTGTCTCCACCACAAACTTGCAAAGGCAATTATCACAGTGAAAACGAAGGAGAGACTGGGAGACAGAGAGATGGAGAGAAAGTGCAAAAGAGAGCACTGTGGGAGAGAGATCAAGTACAATAGCCTGGCCAACTTTCATTATCCATTTCTGCATTCCGCTGTCTACACCACAACACCACTACCACCGCATCTCCCTTACTTTGACATATTTTGTCTCATTAACATTTGTGCCACACAATCAACTGCAGTCTCGGTGCCAGCAACCAGCGCCCAGCGCCCAGCACCCAGCACCCAGCACCCAGCACCCAGCACCCAGCCCTGCTTCAGCAGCCCCTTGGCTAGGACCCTTGATGATGTACGAGTGCACAGTGGGCCAAAGGCCCAAAGCATTTAGGGTAATTTCAATCTACGATTTAATCTCAAAGATGTGATTGTATTCCAACGGAATCAACATAGTACATCCACAGTATATGCCACAAGATTGCAGATCCGTTGCAACATGCACAATGCAACATCTGTATGTATAGAAACTGATTACCGGCTTTCCCTTGTATTGAGTTTATTTCTTTTTCTCAGCAGTCTTTACGCCACATCCCCCAGTCGTATGCTGCAAGGGAAGGGAAGTGGTGTTTGTTAAGAGTTTAAGCAGAAGTCTGGACATGCCTGAGTTGAGATGGAAATTCAAACTGAATTTGATCCTAAATCCGAGCTAAAACCCGAGCTAAAACCCGAGCCTTATATCTGATTTAGCAGTGTGGTTTGAGGTACAATTTGGTATTCTATAATCATCGCTAGACTCACGGAAAGGATACATCGTAGCTGCGGGTGCTAAACAGAGTGCATGCATACGGTAAGTGGTATTTTGGTAGCTTTTCTCCGCTCACACCCGAACAGACAGCCATTACGTGTCTACTCTATGCAATTTTGTCACTGAATTTCAGATATCGGGTTTTGTTTGCATAAGTGAACGTGTACTGGAATGTGTTCAAGTTTGAACGGTGTTTGTCCCACTGTAAAGCGTTAGCTGGGGACTTCCACTTAAGTATGTAATTTTATCGCCGCCATCTTTTTCGATGGCGATTCTGGGTCTACAATTCTCCGAATATCTGTGTGAATCCTATGGGTTGGCGACCCTTGGCTATTGCTATTGATCGAAGCGGTGTTTGTTTCCAAAAAGCCACCACTTTTGTTGCCAGTACAGCTAGTCCCATCGGAGCTCCCAACGGGAGTCCTATCGCTTCTTAGCTTCCTTTTCGCGTTTTAGATAGTGCTTCAAGGGGATTTGGGTCTCGGCGCACCTACGGCGCATATGCCAACATTCCATTCTGTTTTTTCAGACTTTTTGCCCTCTTCTGCAATTTCAATTTTGTTTTTTGTCATGGCTGTTGTTTCCGTTGCTGTTTCCGTTTATGTTGCTGTTGCTGTTGCTGTTGCAGCAGTTGTTTGACAATCACCACGTGCACCATGCTCCTTTTCCCGAGTGGAAAACGCAGAAGATGGACGCCTGGCCTGAAACGGGCTCGGTTATGGGCAGGCGCTCGAAACCAGGAGCGCCAGAGTCCAAGCCGAGGACTGTGGAATGGCGCCCAGGCATGACCCAGGCAACGAAGTAAGCACAAACAAATGGAAACAATTAAACGGATTGAGTGCAACAAAATAGGAAACATACACACACACCACACATACATGTACAGTGCACAGTGCATACTCGTATGAGCCCTGCTGTACGGGCCTTCGATGACCCATCTGCTGACACGCCGATGACAGCGATGTCATAGTTGATGACCCGCCATACGCTGAGCTGTTGACATTAACATAGAGAGGTCCTCGGGCATAGTCATCCAGCAGTGCGCAGAAATCATGCATTTACTAAGCGATGAATTTAGCATTTAGCCGGAAAAAAAACTTCGTTTTTCAAGCGATGATTTTTGAGAAAAAGGAATAGACTTACGGCTCATCTGGTATCTTCAACGGCACCGCCACTGAAAATAGTTTATAATAAATTTATTTATTTAAATTTAATTTACATATTGTGTTTTTGCTTAGTTAATTGCTTACACTTCCTTTCCATGTCCTTCCATGATGTGCCTGTCCCCATTGTGCTCCGTATTTTGTTGGTCTAATAATATGTTTATTAGGACAATGCTCACTGTAGATCTGGCTGCGGCTCTGCTTTTTGTTGTTTTTGATTTGTTGCAGGACTGCTCATAGACTGAAATGGCGGGCCCAGCGCAGATTCTAACAATTTTATTCGCTTATGCGGATTTTCGTTCTATTTCTCCACTCTTCTTTTATTCCCGACTATCATAAAAGCAAGAGCATAAAAGAATAATTAGGATCTTTAATGTGAATGCAGCGGAACATTAGCATAATGTGAACACAGTTTTTCACAATTTCACACACTTAACACTTTATACAACTGAAATTTTCTTTTATTAAAAACTGCACTTACCTGCACATAATAATAGATAATATATGTAACTATTTTTCACTAAATCTCTGCAGTTTCTCGTCATCGCCCACTGCTGGCACTGCAGGGGACTTACATATGTATGTATGTATGTATGTATGTATGTATGTATGTATGTATGTATGTATATGACGAAAATGGGTGGCGAAGATGGGTGGGGCGATAATTCAATTTTCGAATTTGAACTAAACTTCTTAATTTACGTTTTGATCAGTGGAGATTCCGATGCGATACTTGGGCACCATTATTGCTGCTATTATTCCTTGCGATTCCTTGCCAATATATCCTTTTGCACCTGTTTGGGACGAAATCGACTTCTGATCGAATGTTTTGCTTTGTTGCAAGCAAATACGTGTCCATTGCTCGCAAAGACCCCGCAAAAGCTTTTCGGGTTCCACTGTGGCCTTCACATTCGGGTTTCATATTCGGTGATTCAGCGGCATTCGCCGTGCTCTCACCTCCGGAGGAATGCTTCCTCTCAGGTTCGCCGATGATGCGAGTCCTCTTCTTCATGATGATGCGATATCTCTTAATAAAACTTCCTCACAAGTCGATTTCGTGCTTGTGAGTTCATTAAGGACTTGGCCTTCGATCATATTCAAGGAACACTAAGATATCCCCTTCTTAAAGTCGAGTCCAAGTGAGAAACAAACCAAAAATAGGTTTCCTTTCTTTATAGAAAAATCAGTGCACCAGACCAGTTATCATTGAATAAAGCCAACGAATCAGTAGGCTGCACAGCCACGATCGGTCCCAGGCGGTTCCACCACTCGTTCGAACTTGAAGCCTGGCTCCTCTGGGGGCCATGGGTCCGTTCCTTCATCTACAGGGTTACAGAAGAGCGTCAGCTAGCGAATTTTATAACTGCCAATTGTTGCTTATCGTCCTTCTGTCGGGTCTCTTGTGGAGTCTGCTTTTGGCCGTACTTTCGTTCGTTAGCCGCGCACGGACATGCCCCCGTACCTACATACCGTACATACCGTACATACCGTACATACGTATATGTATATGTATGTATTTGTTTATGTGTATGCTTCCCCACACTGCCATTGTCGTTTGTGCAGCCAGCAATATGACAAACTTCGCTGCAAGAAACCGCCACAGGGAAAACAATAAAAGACAAATTGGATCGCTCAGGCTGGCGGTTCCGACTGCTTGATGCCCACGATTTGTAATTGTGTGACGTAGAAACTGGAGCCCAACGGACTCGAAGACCTGCAGGTCCCTGGGTGTTCGTAAGATTCCTGCTTAAATAGATCTCTGCACATGTTTCCCTTGCTTATACCTAGTAGCTTCTACCTTCTACCTTCTACGTTCTACCTTACCTTACTCTTTTACTGCTACCCGTTCCCTGGGTGCTACCAACATGCGGTGCACATTTGTATGTATGTGTCCACGGGTGCAGCATGCACTGGGACTACGGGGTGTACTCTGGGGCGAAAGCACAGGAAGCAGTCTGTGCGAGTGGACGAGTGTTGAAGGGAGGAAGTCCCCGCTCGGCGGGGAGTCGTTCAATGCACGCGAGGCTACCCTCTGGCGCCGCCCCTTCCTTTCTTCTCTCCCTTTTTTCAGTGCGCGTTCTCTAACAAGTTTCGTTGCAGCTTTTGCGCATTTTCTTTTCATGACATTTTATTATGACGTAAATGGGGGGGGGAGGCGTTTAATTGACAGCTGCTGCGCTAGATTCTTTTCCCCCCTCTCTATCTCTCTCTCTCTTTCTCTCTCTCTCTTTCTCTCTTCTCCTTGTCCCTCAGCACTCTTCCCATTTGATTGCTTTATTATTTTATTATAGGTTTTGTGTTATGGCAGCAGAGCTGCAGAACCGATATAAGAGTTGACAGTTTTATTGCCATTCGATACATGAGCAAATTTTTCCGATCCGCTGTTTAATGCGCTTTCCAGAATTTGTTCACTGGATTGCACTGGAGTTGTGGCAATAAGCTTTGCTACATGTGCCAATTATGTTGTTGCGAAGCCTGGAATCATGATTTTGATGGAGATGGAGATGGAGAGGATAGGGAGAGGCATTTTTGGACCCCTATGTGTACTCGCATGTAGATTGAAGGCAAGGAACTTCTGTGCCTTAGAATGCTATAGGGACCCGACTTATGGTGACGTCCTTCGTTCCCGCGTGCCTTCGCTGTAGGAGCTGTAGGCAGGAAATGGCACAAAATTAATCAAATATTATTATCTAAAACTGGAATATTACAATGTGCAGAAAGCATGAATTTACTTTTAAAAATACCTTTCTTTTATCCTTTTTTCCAGATACGCCAGCTGTGTAAACTCTGGAAACTGTGGGACACAAAGACCTAAATTTCAACTGCAACTGTAACTGCAACGGCAACTGCAACGGCGACGGACCAAATTGTCCCCAAACTGTCATTGTGTTCGGCGTTGTGCAACGTTTTAATTGAAAAAGTTTTGCATACGCAATTCTGCATAGAGACACGCAAATATGACTGTCAAATTGGCCAAGCTCTTTGGAGGAGTTGGGGTTGGGGTTGGGGCAGTCGGAGTAGGAATGGGAGTGGGAGTGGGAGTGGGAGTGGGAGTGGGAGCTGGTTCCGGCAGCAGTGTCCATGGCGAGAGCAACATGGATGGGAGCCACCAGCCGCTGGCACACGTGCAAACTCCAGCGGCGCAAAACCAACACCAGCACCAACAGGCACAGCAGCCGCCGCCTCTGCCACCACCAAATACAAATATGAAGAATCTCAAGTACTACGAGCACCTGCAGGCCTCCTACGACTGCCACGATCTGATGCTGGACGGGGAGGACGATCAGGACAACTACGAGGATAGCATGTCCCTGAGCTCCGTCTGCATGCAGCGCAACCAACCGTTCAACAATTCTCAGCGGCCCCTGCTTGGGGAGCGGCGGCCCCAGCTCACCTTGACGGCTGTGGGCCAGAAAACTGTGGCAAAGTCCTTCCAGCAGCACGCCCTGCCTGGTCCTGCCCTGTCCCTGGCACCGCAGAGAGGCCACGCGACCGCCGCGTACATATCGCCCTATGTGCACCAGCAGAAACGCGACAGCGCCAAGGGCCTGCACGGCTTCAACGACTTCGACGTCCTGTCCCAGCAGTACAACCAGCACCTGCAGAGTCCGCACATCGGCTACCCCTACGGGAGTCCGCCCTCGCCCACCGCCCACTCGCGCGACTTTTGCTTCGACCGCCAGTCGGGCCAGGCCACGTCCAGCAGTTCGTCCAACTGCAGCAGCTCGGTAACTACCTCCACCGCGTCGCCGACGCGCTACTACCAGGACACGGCGACGGCCCCAGTCTATCCGTCGCGGTTCGAAGACGACTTCTGTGTGCGTCGCCCGGCAGACTCGCCCCTTTCCCTATCCGTGTCCGAGGCCCCGCCATTGCCCCCGGCAGCGGCGGCCGCCTCCACCACGGGTCCCTTCATCTTCGGCATCTCCCACGAACAGCAGCCTGCGCACTACGGCTGCACTCCGGTGACCCCGACAGCCTCGCGAAATGCACTTCAGCCTCTGAAAATTCCGTTCAGAAGGGACCACAAGCCTCTGGTAAGTGAAAATAAGAAAAACCTCTGCACATATGTAGATACCCTCTAGCGCCACGGACTACACGCACTAGAATCAGGTTCCCCTTTGTTTTAATTTGGTGATAAATGGAAACTATGAGTTCGCAGAGTTTCGAAATGATTAATTTTTTCAAAGTTTTCGCATAAAGCGGGAACTAATTTGCATGCATTTAGTACCTCACTTGACCTGGCTTGACCCCACTTATGGACTTTAACCGGCATCATACTTAATGGATAAGTGCATTGCTCAGTTTTTTTTGTTCAGTGTTAGTGAACAAATGTTCGATGAAGTGCTGAGAATCACCGTTTAAGTTTTCACTTTCTCCAGCAGCCTGGTGTTCGAAACTCGGATTGAGGACATTGATTGCGTCATTTCTGATTATACAGTACACCATTCCCAGCATCCAACTGATCTAGTTCTGACTTAGCCCGGGGTAGGCAAGGTCTCTATAATCTGCATTTACGGCGTGCTTTTTCTTGACAGGGGCTCAATGACAATACTCATTTTTCTCAATGGAACGGTCAAACTATTCGAGACAGTTACCCAGCGCTCAGGAGAAACACAAACTAATTTTGTATAATGCCAGAAAGAAGAAGAAAGTAACTCTTGGAGTTGCACTAGGAGCCCGAGCCCCAACGAGATCCAAAGAATGTGACGGGAAAGGTACAAAGGTATTCCTTTACAGTAATAAATAGTAATATTTCCCTGCCATGTTGGTGGCACTGGCATAGCATTGAGTTGTGCACTACCTTATCCAATGCCGCCAATTTTCAACTATTTTTAAATTTATTTTGCCAATCCTTCGCTAGTTCCTTGTTTTTTTGAATGCGATCAACAACCCTCTCTACAGTAGAACAATCTCCTCCCTCGGTGATTTTGACATACCCAATTATCAAAGTCATCTGCTGTTGTGAGCGGCAAGGGCCGCTACTCCACTTTGCAATCTGCTTTGATTTTTTGCCACATTTTTTGTGATTCTTATGTAATATATTATGTAGGTTTGATCTGTTTCCATTTATCCTTGCATTTTTTATTTACACCCGTCTCTTTTTTCCTCTCTTTTTCACACCAACACCAGCCTAGTAGGCGCACACTGCAGTAGGAAGAGTGTGTGTGTGTGTGAGAGAGAGAGAGAGAGAGAGAGAGAGAGGGAATGGGTGAGCCACTAAAACTTCATGTGTTCCTTCTGGCTATACCTACAATCTTGTAGGTATGGGATTCTCTATAATTATACGTCTTTGTTTTTGTCGTATCTCCAGAAATTTGAACCAAGCTTGATTCAGCGCTATATCACAGGAGTCTGCATACAAGATTTCTTTGCTCTAGCTGGTATAGTCTCTAAGATCTAGCCGCTCATCGGACAGTCAGACATGGCTCAATCGACTCGGGTATCGATTCTGACCACGAATATGTGTATTTCATGGGGTCGGAAATGCCGCCTTCTGGACGTAACGTACATCCACGTTCACCAAAAATTTAATACAATATACATATGTACATATGTGCTCCAAAATTGGCGGAACATATCGAAAAGTGTTCAGGAGTCATTGTGCACCCAAAAACAATTGCCAATTTTTTGCACAAGGATGGTTTCAAGAGCCGAGTTCCACGAAAGAAACCATTGATTTCAGAAAAGAATCGGATTTTGCGCCTGAAATTCGCCAAAGCGCACTTAAATAAGGATCCAAACTTTTGGAAAAGCTTTTTATTTACAGATGAAAGTAAATACAACATATTCGGAAGTGATGGCCGTTCCAGAGTTTGGAGAAAGGCAAACACCGCTCTTGACCCTATAAACATAATACCCACCGTCAAGCATGGAGGTGGTAGTGTAATGGTTTGGGGCGCTTTGGCGTCGCCTGGAGTAGGTAATTTGGTGTTTGTGGAAGGGAATATGGATCGCTTCCAGTATAAGAAGATATTGGAAGAAAATTTGGAAACATCGGTGGATACATTGAGCCTGGGAAGCAGTAGGATCTTCCAGCAGGACAATGATCCAAAGCACACCGCACATGTTGTGCGTAATTGTTTGCTGTATTATGCCCCAAGACAGTTTCGTTCACCACCCCAATCGCCAGACCTTAACCCAATCGAACATCTTTGGGACATTTTAGAAAGATTGGTACGGAAGTATAACATCAGCAGTCGGGAAAGCCTCAAAACCGCCCTCATTCGAGCTTGGGCCGAAGTTCCGCCCACAACAACCGAAAATTTGGTGGCATCGATGCCCCGACGACTACAGGCTGTAATAGATGCCAATGGTGGACCAACCAAATATTAAAAGTATAAAAAGTATTAATATTAAGATGACTTTGAGACTATAATACAAAAGCATAGAGGCTGTATGTACACTTTTTTCCGTGAACATTTTATGTTTTTTCGTTGTAACTTTAGTATACATCATTTTTGTTTAAGTTTTTTTTCTGAAATAATAATAACTTTAAGTGTCCTAAATAATGGCATACCAACTTTTTTAATTTTCATTGCGAAAACCCGAAATATTGAAAAATCGGTGCTGTATGTTGACTTTTTTCCTTGACTGTATGTGCATATGTACCCCGTAAAATCTTGTTGAGTATCGGGTATTACAACAGACAACCTACCAATGGCAAGGCACGGCAAGGCACGGCAAGGAAAGGCAAAGAATGTTGAACAACGAAATTGGAGGAAATTCACATTTCGTGAACTAATAAGAGATAAAGAAATTCTATAAACTCCACTGCCATTCCGGTACGGATGGCTGGCGCCTGAGAGGCGGATGAACGCAAAAGCTGCAGAGAGAGAAGGAGAGCGAGAGAAACACCGAAAGTAGAATGAAAGGAAAGAAGCGAGGAAGGAAAAATTCCCTAATTACACTTAAGTTTGTTAATTGCCGGACAGATATTCCCTCCCCTCATCCTGCGGAGGAAGCCACATTTCGACGATGACATCCCTTGTATACCCTTGCTGAGGGCATGATAGTTTTGTGCCAGCTTTCCACAGACTTCGGGGATAAGCCGAGGCCGAAACCGAAACATATGTACTTCTTTTGTCAAATTCCCAACTGAAATGTGCATATTATTTGTCCATACGATTAAGATCTAATTTCGATTATCCGTACAGTACAGATGGACAGAACGGGAAAGACTTATGAGAGTAAGAGCAAGAGAAAGTGCGAGTTGCGCATACATGCACTTATGTACATATCTAGTATCGTTGGGCTAACTACGCCACTTTCCAAGATTGCCGGAGTAAGCCAGTGCCGGCGCTCTCTCGTTTCGCCTCTCGCAGTAGTCGATCTACTACGTAGGTTATACTTTAGGATTCCTATTTACTGCCGTCTCTGATGATAAGAGCTGAGCACCTGAGGATATTTTGCACCTTGGCCTCTTTTTTTCCGTCTGAAATAAGCGCTTTCATTATTTCGCGCTTCACCGCACTAGAGTGTGTTCCTCGCCCCTGATACCGTCACCCAATTACAAAAAACGATGCTAAAAATGTTTTATACTGTTGAATAAGCGGTTCAAGTATTTCTTAGCACCGAAAACCTTCAAAAAAATGGAGAAGATTTAATCATTTTTAGAAAGCACTACTATTCCTTTGATGGTGGGTACCAAAGAAATACCGTAATAAAATGCAAAGAAAAAAGACTAGTCAATATAACTGTAAAAAGAAAATAATTTTTTAGCCCAACCTCAAGTTTGGCTCGGAAATAATTGTTCTGGGCAACAAAACTTTTCGTTTTCGTGCTCGATTCGGCTATCGGAACGCTGGCAAGAAGCGAATTTTTGCCCGTAACAGCACAGACTGTGCTCGTAACATGCGCGTAACAGAACATCTGGGCAAAGACAGCTGATTCCCGCCACATTTAATTCAAAATGGAAGTACAACAGATTATTTTTTTTGACCATTTGCCTCTCACAGTTCGCCAGACATGTTAATTGCGCAGGTGTTGCTTCTCAGGTGTCTTGATCGACAAATATATCGAACACAAAAATGTAGGAAAAAATAAAGTAAAAGTAAGTGTAGACCGGAGCCTGCCTGAATATGCTATGGCCATGGCAACTCTATGTACACGTATGTACAGATGTTTGCACCATGTAGAGGGCATCGAACCAGCTCGCGAGGTTGCGGTTGAACGCGGCGTTGCCGCGAGCAGCCTCCATTCCGAGACACTGTACTGAAATCGAATGCAATTCAATCCGCGACGAGCAACCAAATCTAAGCCAAATCTAAACCAAAGCAAACCTAACCAAGCCGAACCGAGACAAATCAAATTAAATTTCGAAAAGCATCAACAGCAACACTAGAAACGTCTTCGGTTAAATGGCCAGGCATGCCACAAAGTAGCATAAAAGTGGCAGATACTCGTGTAGTGCTTTTGTTTTGGCTCAATGAGCATGTGAAAGGTTGTGAGCGGCATTGAGTACAGGAGCCAGCAAAGCAGGCAGGACTCGCGTAGAAAGTATCTCGACTGAGAATAGCCGACCCTCGATCCTCTTGTTATCGTGGCGCTCTCACAAGGGAAATGAATGACCTTTTAGCTCGAAAAGGGAACCACCAGAACCACCAGGCAGAGCTGACGAATGAATGTTCTCCCTCTTTGTAGGAAAATGCCAACTATTTCTCCGACATAAGCTGGTATATGCGGCTGCTTTGACGCGCATCGTCGTATAGTTCCAGTGAGAAATATGCCACTTAAGATCAATTATCTTCCGAGACCAGAGCTGGTCTCCAAGGCAGTTACTCGTGCATACTCGTATAAGCTGAATTTTGTCAGTCTGCCGCTGGAAGGAGCGGAAATCCGTGCTGTTGCTGCTGCTGCTGTGGTTGTGGCTGTCGATTTTGTTCCCGGAGTTGTTGTTGTCACAGCTGTTGCCACATAGTTAAGCTGTTCGCCCCGTGTCGTCGCAATGTCTGACAAAGTTGGGTCTGCACCTGGCGAAACCGACTAGAAGCTGACCAACCAAGCCGGTTCCAGCGACCATGAGCCAGTAGCGACA